ACCTCAGCCACCTAACTCACTGGGTTTTCAAAATGCAGTAAACTGCAAACACAGAAAGAATCTAAGTTTTTATTCATGTAGTAGTTTTCCAGGAAAATCAGGTTAAGTATTCTCACAGGAGAATTTAACAGGTATGACAATTACAAAAATTGTTAGTTTCTAAAATCTCCTAGGTACTGGCAATTAAAATATCAAATGCCCAAATGTCATTAAAGGTGACTAAAACTGTAGCTTACTGCTTCAGAATTCTTCCTGTTACAGTCAAAGAGAAAAATAATCTTGATTTTTCAGTATTTTGACAAACACACACTATCTTTACTTTCCACGTGGTTAATGAAGATGAAACAGAGAAAGTTTGAAGAGATGGCAGGGAGGAAGTGGTATAAAGGTAAAGTTTCCATCTCCAAATATGTTAAAGAACAGAATCTCAAAACTGTGACTTAAACAATTTAAGAAATCGCAAACTTGCTGAACACTGGAATTTGACACAACATTGTAAAATGATTATAAATCAATAAAAAATGTTTAAAAAAAGAAAAATATCAAAAAAAAGAAATCGCCAACTATTATAAGATTCAGAATTTTTTAATGATTTTTTTTAAAGATTGTTCAGACATGATTTTAATTTTTTACTTTCATTTTATAGTTCTGTTTAGGTATAATTGAGTAATGATATATTTCTTTGAAGGATATTACAAAATAATTATGAATCAAATGCATGGAAAACAAAAGTATTCCCTGGTTAAAAGGAAACATAATTTTCCCCAAAGGAATGATTTAATAAAGGAAAGCCTGTATTCACGTAAATCTTCAAGGCTCAGCAGGACAGCATGCTCATAAGAGTATCAAGACACAGACATATTGAGTGTAGAACTTCTCAATAAAAATATAATCCTTGTAGCGGCCACTTAAATCGACTTTTTTTTTTTAATTGAAAATTGCCAGACTATGAATTATTCTTCCTCAAATAACTAAAGAAATATTTGCTAAGACTAAATTGTAGGAACAAAACAATATATTCCCTTTGTTATACAACTAAAATGGTATCAACGGATAGCCATCTATATTTAAATACAAATGAATTTGCTGTATTTTCCTACAGGATGTGCATGCACCTCTCAGGAAACAAGCAACATTTAATAAGTAACCCCTTACTCAAATCCGTCTTTGATCCTTTAACTCTCCACACACTGCCAACACTGTGCTAGGTCTATACTGACTAGGTAATTTTAGATATCTTTATACCATAAAAGTTGTGGAGGGGCGAATGTATCTCATATTAAATTACACTGAATATTAACTAGGCTTTCAGGTGAATTTTGACACTGAACTTTGACATTAAATGTAGATGTAAAACAGTGCAGCTAAAATATTATTTAGGAAAATTTACCAGAGTACAGAGGTCAAGATAGGAACAATAATGGGTCCTACTGATCCCTAATGCAGTCAGTGAGCTGCAGGGTTACCTTTCCAACAAGGTTATCTTTCAGTTGTGACAGCAAGAGATGGTTCCATGCAAATCACCACCTCTGTTGCAAAAAACAAACAAACAAACAAACAAACAAACAAACAAAAACCTTAATACCATCCCTAGGGAGTATGTCAGTAGCTTTCTATAAAAACTGCCATATTTCCTTTTAAATTTACCTAAACCACCACACACAAATGTGTGTGTGTGTGTGTTACTACTTCTCAGGCTCCCAGTGTTTTAGAGGCAAAAAACATAACCTCTTCCTTTCTAAATTTTGCTAAAGAGATTTTATTTTTCCTTTGATAACACCATCATACAGAGAAGCACATTTACAAAACTCTTAGCCACATCTGAAACTGACACAGAAAATAAGTCTATATTAGCAAGTAGTCTACCTGTTTGCTATAAAGTTCAATTTTCTTGTGGGTCTTCAAGTTCTCCCTACTTAATACCAACAGATACAGTAGACAAAGACTCATACTTTGCTTTGACACATTGTTGACATGCAGATATAAATAACTATAACAATGACACCCCAGGAAATGACTGAGCACTCAATTCACCTTATGACCCTCACTAAACAAGCACTGGGTACCTGTTTATCCTCCTCAGTGTTATTAACACCGTCAACACTAAGAGAAAGAGACTTTTTGGAACTTTCTTCCTGCTAGAATCTTCTCAGTTTGAATATTCCAGCACCTTAGGAAGAGGATTTTTAAATTTACCCCATAGAATTTATCCCAGGCTCTCAGGGCAAAAAAAGACATCTTAAGAATCACAGAGTAATCCTATAGATATGTGCTGCCCAATAAGATCTTAGCCATCAAGTAGCTACATGTAGTTACTGGCACTTGAAATGTGGCTAGTCTGCATTCAAATGTACTGAAAAATGTAAAATACACATCAAATTTCACAGATTCAGTATGAAAGAATGTAAAATATAAAATATCTCATTATTAACTTTTAAAACTGATTACATGTTAAAATTATATATATAGGATTAAATAAAATATATTAAAATTAATTCCACCTTTTTTTTTTTAGTTTGTTAGTGTGATTAGAAAACTTTAAACTGTTCATGTGCCTTGCTTGCACTGTATTTCTATTGGACAGCACTACTATAGATACACAGCCTTAATTCTGATAGCAAACAAAAACTATTACTTGGCACTTCCCAATTACAACTGCCATATAAAAGCCAAAAGAAGAAAAAACAAAAACAAAAACAAAAACAAAACAGTACTTTGGCTTCTCCACCAATTTAAATGAGATAATAACAAAAACAACTTAATGAGTATAAAAATAGTCAATAGAATCACTTTGCTCTGACACGAGTTTAAAGATCACACTACTTCAAAATGGCAAAAACAGCACAGGATACAAAAACTACACCTCTTAAGAAAATAAGAAGGGAACTATAAAAATCCAGTTTTTCTAATAAAGTAGGTCTAAATGCTGATTACAAGGTTCATCGTTAAAGTGAAACGGACATTTCTTTCATTTCTAGCACCTGGGGCCTCAGAAAAATAAAATGTATGATTCTGTCTCTTTTATATTCAAGCACTTTTGATCACAAACAAGCCATTAAGATAAGAAGGGGAAATAATTACCATGACCTAATTCTCTTTTCCAAAATCAAAAGAAAATAATATCACTCAAAAGCAAAACTAAAACCTGCATCAGCATCTCTAGGGCTGAGCAGCCTATCTTTGGTCCATAAACATTATGAAATAAGCATTATTTTAAGGTAAGTATTTTCTACCACAATTTAAAAAAACATATTTTAAAAGTGAGAAAACAACACAGTTCTATGAGTAAACCATTTCTTCCTCTATGGTAACACATCATTCCGCTTTGATTTCAAAAATGTTTAGACCTCCAGGGCTCTTGGGGGAAAAATTCAATATTTATTAATTTACAAAAGTATTTTTATAAGGAGAGAGAGGGAGTCAGCTCAGTAAAGGATGGGTGGGGTGGAGCTCTCCCAGGTGTTCATTAGATGCAAGAATAACTTATAGTGAACTGTCAACGGGGAAACTGTATTAAAAAAAAAGAATTAAAAAAATTAAGACCAAAGAGCCCGCAGGGCTTTCATGACAGTTGCTTAGATACTTTCTACGGTGTCCTACCAAATTTATTATCCGAAAAAGTCCGTATTTGGCTGTCAATTCTTTATTCATTTGAGATTCATAAGTTGAGTAAATCTTCAGACTTCTACTTGTTAGGTGATACATGCCTTAGAAACCTTTTCCTTGTGCATTTAAATGCCAAGCTCAATTACGCTCCCGGTCAACTAAGCAGAAAGGATTGTACATATTTTAACATAGGAAGTTGACCGGCTGCAGTTTTCTGCCTTGGTGGAAAGGGTGATTGGTAAAGTTCTTTCTAAGTATAATCCTTAAATCCTGAAATCACTCTCAAAGAATTGAGTCTTCTAACATTGCCCAATAGTTAAAAAGACTGCCAAAATTTCCATCAGAGCATCCTATTTTTAGAGTCTTTGGAATTGGTCTTTTAAATTGCATTCCACAGTACGTGTTTGACTAAGTTTACAAAGGCAACAAAACAAGCATCCTAAGACCTTAACCTTTTAAGCTTAGAAAGGGATTTTACGCTTTTAAATCTGAATTTTTCTAATTGTGACTTTAAATCTTTTAAACATGAAAATTAAAAATAAAAATGAAGGTAAATACCGGCCTAGCGGGAGAAACAGAAGGGAGACACTAGGTGGTTCCTGACAATCAAAGTGGTGAGGGAGGAAAAAACAGGTATGAAGGAAAATAAAAACCACCCACCAGGGTGGAGAGACAGGGCTGCACGCAGCGGGACAGAAAGGAACAGAGGCGCCGTGGAAGCCGCAGGCTCCTCGGCCAGCCGGGCGAGAAATGACTTCTGGCGCGAATGCCCCAGGGAGAGAGAAATGGGCGCGCTGCGCAGGAAGAGACCACAGAGGCGAGAGAAAAGAGAGGAAAACAGGGCGCGGGGACGGAGCGGAGGTGAAGGACCGGGGCTACACGGCACCGAGGGCGCAGAGGCGGCGCTGCCCGAGGAGGACAGCGTTGGAGAAAGAGCGAGGGGAATCCCAAAGGCTTCCCCCCGGCCGCGAGCCGACCGGTCTCCCGCGTCCCGCTTTTGCTCTCCTCACCTGGGAACCGGATACGAAAGGAGGGCTACCGCCGGGCGCCGGGTCTCTCCCCAGCCTCGCTCGCTGACATGGCGGCCGACGAGCTGTCACAGAGCCTCCTCAGGTCTCCCGCCGCTCGGGTGGAGGAGGCACCTCTCGTCTTCCCGCCCCGCCTCCCTCTGCACACCCCTCTCGGCGGGCGGGCAGGCGGCAGGCCGCCCGCGACCGCGGAGCATAGAGCGCGGGCGGCTAGAGAGGAGGCGCAGAGGGCGGGCGACCATAGAGTACGAGTCCTGACACCTCCCGGATGGTCCGGATGGTCCGTCTCTCTCCTCGGCCGTCCACTCACGATCCTCCGGCGTCTGCGCCGGCACGGAAACGGAAGTGAGGGCAAAGGGAAGACAGAGAGGTCGTTCGCACGCGCAGTGTGGAGTGTTTACTTACGCCGGTCTAGTCCGGGGGTAGGGCGGTGTTACACGTGGTCTCCCCTGTACCGAGTTCGTCGACGATGTAACTACCCTGAGTGAATTTGAGACAGGCCTTAAGGGTGAGAATGTGGGTCCCAGTGGCGGGGCTTCCTCCGCTGCTCGCGCTCTCAGCCTTGACCCGCGGTGGGCGCTTTTGCATTTTGAGGTTCGGAGCCGCGAGGCGGAAGGACGTCCTGGCTGGGAACCGCCGTGGCTTGTCTGACATCCACCCGCAGCTCTTGTCCAATGTGGGTTTCGGGAAATCGTCTTCGCGTGTGTACAGGTGCCGCTCAGAGATCAAGCGGTACATAACCAGTCCGAGACTGGCTGAGACCTTGGTGCAGATTCTGCAGGGAAAAGGAGACGCTTCCCAGCTAATCCTGGAGTGCAATCCAGGTGAGTCCCTCGTGGACTGCATTTTCTTGGATGTTCACTTCTGCAAACTGTCTAAAACATACTCTGTTCCTTTAAACAACTTAAATGGTCTGCGTTAATCATGACACAAGATATTTCTGTAGCACTTTGCACTTTACAAAATATTTTGATAAAACATGCTCTTAAATTTCACCGTCTTCCCCAAAGAACTTTTACCATTCCGTTCGTTTTCTATAGACAGTAGCAAGATGCTAGGAACACAAAATACATAGACGTTTTGAAAAATAATTTTTTAAGCACTATTTCCTCTCATGAGAAGTCAATTCTGTTTAGGTTTGACGGTATCTTTGATGTTAAAGTATCGAGATAGTCTTTGAGTAAATGGTAGGCTAGATGCAACCATTTTGTTTGCTTTTTTTTCTTGAGAGGTAGTGAAACATGGTGATTAAGAGTGCAGATTTTCCGCACAGAAGATAAACAATTTTATACTGTATAGTATAGGGAATTACATTCAATATCTTATAGTAACGTATAATGAAAAAGAATATGAAAATGAATCTATGTATGTATATGTATGACTGAAACATGCTGTACACCTGAAAATGATACATTGTAAAAGACTATACTTCAATTTAAAAAAAAAGTGCAGGTTTTGCAGTCTTGGATGGAATGGATTGAAAGCCAAACAGCACCACTTAGCAGTTGTGATGTTGGAGTCAAGTGACTACCTAGTTCCTGGTTTCCTTATATGTAAATAAGGAGTGTAATATCTATTTTGGGGATGTTGTGAGGGTTAAAATTAGATCATACTTACAGGTAAAACATCTAATTTTTTTAATATTGAAATTATGTTGTTTCTTTTGCAAATAAACTTTTTGTTCTTTAATATACTAGGTCCTGGGATCCTGACGCAAGCATTGCTTGAAAGTGGTGCCAAAGTGATTGCCCTTGAAAGTGACAAAACTTTTATTCCACAACTGGAGGTATGTTTTTAGTTTGTAAAAATAATTTATTGTTCCGTTGGCTATCTTTGAGTGGTTTAGGAAAGTAAAATTAAGCACACAGTTTATTTTTAAAGAATCACTTTTTGGGGTCATGCCTTAAATATCTTGTTATCCCCAGTGACTAGAACATAATAAGTATCAATGATTGTTGAATGAGTAGGAGATTGGATTCAGAGACTTTTTTTCTGGTTCTATCTCTGCTGCAGATGGGTGACTTTGAACGAAATGTATAAAGTATCTCTAGGCTTCTTTACTCATCTCTGGTAGGCTATGCTGTGCCCCTTCTTTCTGCTATCCTAGAATCTAATTAGAGGGCTAAGATTCGGTTAATGGAACTATGTTAACTCTGGACTTAGGGTTTCAGAGGCAAGAAAGGTGTAGTATATTCAGATGAAATTGCATAGAGTCGAGGCATTATCCAAATGGATTTTTTTTAACTTTTTTTTTATTGAGTTATAGTCATTTTACAATGTTGTGTCAAATTCCAGTGTAGAGGACAATTTTTCAGTTATACATGAACATACATACATTCATTGTCACATTCTCTTTCACTGTGAGTCACCACAAGATCCTGTATATATTTCCCTGTGCTACACAGTACAATCTTGTTTATCTATTCTACATTTTAAAATCCCAGTCTGCCCCTTGCCGCGCCCCGCCCCCTTGGCAACCACAAGTTTGTATTCTATGTCTATGAGTCTGTTTCTGTTTTGTATTTATGTTTTTTGTTTTTTGTTTTAGATTCCGCATATGAGCGACCTCATATGGTATTTTTCTTTCCCTTTCTGGCTTGCTTCACTTAGAATGACATTCTCCAGTAACATCCATGTTGCTGCAAATGGTGTTACGTTGTCGGTTTTTATGATTGAACAGTATTTCATTGTATAAATATACTACATCTTTATCCAGTCATCTGTTGATGGACATTTAGGCTGTTTCCATGTCTTGGCTATTGTAAATAATGCTGCTGTGAACATTGGGGTGCAGGTGTCCTTTTGAAGTAGGGTTCCTTCTGGATATATGCCCAGTAGAGGGATTCCTGGGTCATATGGTAAGTCTATTCCTAGCCTTTTGAGGAATCTCCATACTGTTTTCCACAGTGGCTGCACCAAACTGCATTCCCACCAGCAGTGTAGGAGGATTCCCTTTTCTCCACAGTCTCTCCAGCATTTGTCATTTGTGGACTTTTGAATGATGGCCATTCTGACTGGTGTGAGGTGATACCTCATCGTAGTTTTCATTTGCACAAAATAGATTTTTTCAGTAAATTCTGTTTCATATATAGCAGATAAACTTACATAGCAGTAAAATGAAAATTCCTTGCATCATTGCCAGCCTCTTTCTCTTTCTCTGCCTTCCTCCTTTATTATGAATCTTTCAATTCAGTTCAGTTGAGGAAACTTAACACTTGCTATGCCAGCCTCCTGAAACCATGTAAAATGGTATTATCTGAAGGTGCAGGATGATAGCAGAAGATGATGAAAATGTCTACCAAATCTAGCTCTTTGTTTTTTAATAAAACCATGTACATTAGATGGTTGTTATTCTACAACTGAAAAAATTCAAGGTTTTAGCCAGGTTATGTAATTGATGTTAAATCTGCTGGAATGCCAAAAACATGAAGAGAAAAAGAACATAAAATTGTTCAGAGATTCAGGGTCATAAAATGTGATTTAGTAAACATAGCTATCTGTAATTTCCACCTGGAAATTAAAAACAAGATGGCTCTTAATCTTTAGAAAGGGGCCTACTTTTGAAGTTTAATCTACATGTTTACAAAATTATTAACTTGGCATTAAAATGTCCTCCTGTTTACAGTTTATTACCATATAACACAATAGTTGTTTTTCTACAGGATCAAGATAACAATGGTCTTAATTTAAAAACAATTGATACAACTTAAAAAAATGGAGCTAGAGAATTAGCTCCTAGTTAGGGACTAGAGAATTCCTTACACACAGTATTTCTCACAGAAATATCAGTCATTAAATGTTTCTGAAGTTATAAATGTAAGCAAAATGTAAACTTCATTGACTAAATACAATCTTTGATTAGAACTAGTTTTTGCTCTAGTTAAAGCTTTTGTTTTTTTAACTCACACTTTATTTATTTTTAATTGAAGTATAGTCGATTTACAATGTGTATTAGTTCCTGGTATACAGCATAGTGATTCAGTCATACGGACGCACGCGCGCACACACACACATATTCTTTTCCATGTGTGTTGTCTAACTCCCTGTGCTCCCCTCCCTCAGCACTAACTGGAGTTCAGCCTTTAGTACATGTTCTTTCACTCATATTAACCAGTGTTAACCATTGTTATGATGAAATGAAAAGCTGTTCAAAGTTTTGTGTGAATTTATCTATTTGTCACAATAATAGAGAAGTAACTATTTAAGTAGAACCTTTGTGGCCCTAAATCAAGTCCTTAAAGTGGTGCTTTGAGCCGACACTGCTTCTAGGCCACCTAAGGCTTTCAATTTTGCTCCTAAAAACTGGAAGGATTTTCAGTGATAATGCTGGACTCTAGGTTTTTAATCTAAATTTAGAATCTCCCCCACCCCTACTCCATTTCCCTGATAAAATTCCTTGGACTCCACATTAACGATGTTTCAAGCAGGAAAAGCTTGTTTTCATATCTGAATTTGCTAGAGATTGTGTTCTATAATAATAAATGATGATTTATTTATTCAATTGTGTAAACTGTTGCTGCAGAAATAACTGCATAAGTTAAGTTGAAGACACATCAGCTTTTGTGGTAAGTTGTGTCTTACTCCAGCAAATTTATATTTTCAACCTGGACCACTCCACTGACCTCACCATTCAGGTCTTCCTACTTAGCACCTTCCCTTGGATCACCTAATAGGCATCTCAGAATTAACATGACCGAAAATATATAATTTCCACCCCCAGTCTGTTCCTTTCAAAGTGTTTTTCAAGAGTCCCTTTGAAAATAATCATTAAAATGTATTACTAATCCCCAAATATAAGCTACTATGTATAAAATAGACAAACAACAGGGTCTTACAGTATAGCACAGGGAACTATATTCAATACCTTGTAATAATCTATGATAAAAATATGTATATATACATATGTATGTATGACTTAATCACTTTGCTGTATACCAGAAACTAACACAACATTGTAGACCAACTATACTTCAATAAAAAAATTTACTAGATTTAGAAAAGAATCATTTTTATAGGTTGAACTCAAATAGTTAAGAAAAATTGGGTTTTTTAACCCATAACTTTAACTTGCAAATTCATTGAAACCTTGATAAATACCAGCAGTGGTGTTTCCTGTGCATTAGAACCTCAGTGTGCACATCAAAACATTGCTGTCTTCTATTTGATTTTTTTTGTGACTTCAAATTAAGTTTGTAGGGTCTGCAGCTAATACTTCCTCTCACTACTAAGTTCTTCAGTGCTGTTGCAAGGGAAGCACATCAGGGCAATAAAAAGATTGAGGTATACTGGACATCTTCCTGTAGGCAAGGAGCTTTCCTTCTATAGTTGCCTCTGTCTTTAGAAAAAAGTAAAAAATTAAGAGGGAAATGGGGAGTGACCTACACAATGAGCTTAGATCATTTGGTGAAGGACTAACTAAACTGTTCTGGAAAAAAAGGAATACTCTCTTGACTCTATCCATCTTTCACTTTGATATTTTTATTGTTTTTTCTGTTACGAAACGTCTTCTTCCTCTGACCAGCACATGGATCACAGCTCTGAATAACTGAAGCCATTGAGATAAAGTAAAATAAATACAAGAATTATTTTTTGAAGTAGATCTTTGAATTGTTACAAGGTCTGCATAGCACTGACATTTCTAAACATGTTGTCTCTGTGTCTCTTTAGTCCCTAGGGAAAAATCTGGGTGGAAAACTGGAAGTGGTCTACTGTGACTTCTTTAAACTGGATCCTAGAAGTCGTGGAATAGTAACTCCTCCTGTTATGACTTCAGAGACGCTTTTTCAGAATTTGGGAATAGAAGCACTTTCTTGGTCAAAAGGTGATTTTTGTTATTTAGTAAAGCAGATACCTTATGATTTGCCAGCTTTCTCTAGCAGTACACCAGGTTTTTTGAGATTTGTGTTAAGTTTTATATTATATAGTTTCTGAGCAGTTGCTCTGAAGTTGAATATGGTTTTTCCTTCACCTAGACACAATCAGAGCAATTTTGTAGAACCCAAGTTCCAGAATAAAGAAAGATGCTAAGGTTTCATTTTAATTGGAATAAAATAATACAGTTTGTTAACTTAGTTTGACTCAGTGAAGTATGGTCATAGGAAAAAGTATTAAGAATGTATTTACATATTTTTGCTTATATTCTTAACAGGTAGCCCTTTTAAAGTAATTGGAATCTTACCAACTAAAAGTGAGAGAAATACACTTTGGAAAATTTTTCATGACCTGTATTCCTGTACTTCCATATATAAATATGGACGAATAGAACTAAATCTGTTTATTACTGAAAAGGAATGCCAGGTAGGTTATTAATAAGTACCTGATTAACTTGTTATTTTGAAAGAGTTCTGCAGTTTTTCTAAGTAGTCAATCTGTTATTTTAATTTGGGCTCAAGACATTTGAGAGTACAGAAATTTTTCTGTAGAGCAATCTTTACGTTTTATTTTTTTAAGGGTTTTTTGGTGTGATAAAATATACATAATATAATATAAAGTTTACTGTTTTAACTGCTTTTAAGTGTACAGTTCGGTGGCATTAAGTACATTTACATTGTATTACAACTATTAGCACCATCTGTCTCATCTCAGAACTTTTTCATCATTCCATACTGAAACTCTGTACCCATTAAACACTAATTCTCCATTTCCCTCTCCCCTGAACCCCTGGTAACCATCGCTTTGCTTTCTGTCTAGGAATTTGACTATTGTGAGAACCTCATATAAATAGAATCATACCATATTCCACTTTGTGTCTGGCTTATTTCACTTAGCACACTGTCTTTAGGGTTCATCCTAGTTGTACTATATATCAGAGTGTCATTCCTTTTTAAGGCTGAATAATATTCCATTGTATATTTACACCACCCCACCACCTTTTTATCCATTTCCATCAATAGATATAATTGACATGTAGCACTATATAAGTTTAAGGTGTAACAATGTTTTGACTTACATCATGAAATGATTATCATAATAAGTTCGGTGAACATCCATCATCTTATACAAATACAACATAAAAAAATTTTCTTTCCTTGTGTTGAGAACTTTAGGATTTACTCTCTGAACAACATTCGTATATTACATACTACAGTGTTAATTATATTAGTCAGGTCGTATGTTAGATACTAGAAGTTTTTATCTTTTGACCACTTTCATTGAATTTGCCTCCCACCACCCCCTATCTCTGGTAACCATAAATCTGATCTCTTTTTCTATGAGTTTGTTTGTTTTTGTTTGTCTTTTGAAGCATAATTGACCTAAATACTATGTTAGTTCCTGCTGTGTAACATAGTGATTTGATATTTCTATTCATTACAAAATGATCAGTATGGTAAGTTTAGTCACCATACAAAGTTATTAAATAGCTATTGACCATGTTCCCCATAACTTACATTTCATTCCCATGATGCATCTGTTTTGTAACTGGAAGTTTGTGCCTCTTAATTTCCTTCACCTATTTCTCTTATCCCCCCACCCTCTCACCTCTAGCAACCACCTGTTCGTTCTCTATATCTATGTTTCTGTTTCTGTTTTATATTTGTTCATTTGTTTTGTTCTTTAGATTCCACATACAAGTGAAATCATATAGTTTTTGTCTTTCTATTTTTATTTCCCTGAATACTTTCTAGGTCCATCCATATTGTCGATAATGACAATATTTCATTCATTTTTATGGCTGAGTTTTATATATGTATCTCTCACATCTTTTTGCATTCATCTATTGATGAACACCTAGGTTGCTTCCCTTTTTTGGCTATTGTGAATAATGCTGTAGTGGAGATAGGGTTTTAGACTCTACTTTTTTATTTTCTGAAATCAAACAGCCTCCTGAAATCCTTGATAGTGTGTTGAGAGTTATGTCTCTTTGCTGCACAGAATACTTCTTGTTATTAATATTTTAATCCAGTATGACTTGAGATGCTTATTTGTCTATAAGAGAGCTATGGATTGGGATGAGGGGGGCAAAAAAATGAAATGATGATTTCCTCACCAGATTCAAATGGTAAGTAAATAGTGGCTCTCCTTAGACAGAGATCAGGGGACTTAGAACCTTGAGTCTGTACATGCATGAAAGAATGAGAGGAAGAGAAATAGCAACTGCTTCATCAGGTTTCATCTTGCTACTAGGAAAATGTTCTAGTGTTTCTTCTACCGTGGACCTTTTTGCGTGTGGTTTCCTCTCTCTATAGTGCCCTCATTCAATGAGGTAACCTCTGATGCTTCAAGTGTCAGCCTAAATAATTCTTGATTCAAAATTTAATAGCCCAGCCAATACATATTTCCAATACATACCCTTCTTCACAATAATTATATATTTTTGTTTCATTTTTTTGTTTACTGAGAATTTGCCCTGATAGGGGATATGGTTAAAGGAAATCAGTTTCAAATACATTGTATTTTAAGTGTACATGATGATATATTTCAGTATGAAAGTTTAAAAAGACTTAATTGTCTTTCAAATGGTTATAGTAAAGATTTTGCATTTAATTATAATTTTTTTCATTTCTAGATACTATAAAGATATCTATTATATCTAGATATCTATTTCTAGATATCATTAAGATCTAACATTTGATTTTGATTGGTTGATTATAGTTAAGTATAATATGTAACTTCTGTTTTCCTTTTACTAGAAACTACTAGCAAATCCCCGAACTCCAAACTTGTATCAAGCATTGAGTGTGCTCTGTCAAATAGCTTGTGGGATTAAGGTTCTGAATAAGGTGAGTAAAATCCTTTTAAATTTCAACAGAGAACCTCATTGTTTTTCAAGGAGGCTGCATTTCTGTGACCAGAAAATGGAGAAAAATCAAAGATTAATTTTATTATTTTTGCCAAATGTTGAAAATAGTAGAGCAAGGTAACTTTGTCCTAATGTTTGTTACAAATATTTATATTTTTCTCTGATTATAAGAATAATATATTCTCATTATAAAAATGTGAGACATGCTAAAGAAAGAAAGAATTTTCTAAAAATCATCACTAAAATTCTACCACTGAGAGGTCACTATTGACATTTGTGACATAATTTTAGTTTTTCATCTTTCCTGGTTTTTTTTCTTCATATAGTAGAGATTATACTGTTTATTTCCTTAGGCAAGATCAGAGTTGTCAAATAGAAGTATAAAAACAGCCACATACGTAGTTTAACATTTTCTAGTAGTCATGTTATTAAAGTAAAGAAAGAAGTAAAATTAATTTTAATATTTTATTTAACCTCTATTTAAAATATTGTCATTTCAGTGTGTATTCTATTTTAAAATTAGTTATTACGTAATTTACATCCTTTTTTGTGTACTATAAATACATTTTATATTTTATAGTTACAAGATCTCAATTCAGACTAAACACGTTTCAAGTGTTCAGTAGCCACATGTGACTTAGTGGCTACCATTTTTGAAAGGAGAGGGCTAGATTATAAGGAAAAAATGATAAATTCTTACTTCTTTCATAGCATAATTTGCCCATTCCCTTTTGGGGGGCCATGGTAATTAGCTTTATTTATTTGTTTACCATTCTCTTTTTTATTTTGGTAGACTAGAGTATATATCAGGTGGTTTTTATAAGATATGTGGTTGTATTTTTTGTGAGCTCTTGTTCTTCCAAGGTCATATTGGTTTAATTTTAAAATTTTGTAGGAAAATACCCTATGATATCACTCATATGTAGAATCATAAAAAAAAAAAAGACACAAATGAACTTATTTACAAAATAGAAACAGACTCACAGACGTAGAAAACAAACTTATGATCACCAGGAGGGAAAAGGGGTAGGAAGGGATAAATTGGGAATTCAAGATTTGCAGATACTAACTATGATACATAAAATTGATAAACAACAGATTTCTTCTGTATAGCACATGGAATTATATTCAATATCTTGTAGTAGCCTCTAATGAAAAAGAATATGAAAACGAATATATGTATGTATAGGTATACTGAAACATTATACTCTACACCAGAAATTGACACAACATTGTAAACTTACTATACGTCCATTAAAAAAAAAAATTTGTGGAGTGTTTTCTCCGTGTAGTCTCTTCATACTTTTGTCCAAGAGCACATGAAGACCTTCAGTGTGTATACTTGGTTGTTAGAACGTTATCTCATTTGATTCTACCTTTTGTTCCGATATTTTTTTTTCCTTCCAAAACATGTGAAGTTCTTAGGTTGGGTCTCTCTATTTCTTGTCTTTCATATCTGTCATGTTCTCATCCTTTTTTTGTATTCCCAGAAAACACTTTCACATTTAGCCTTCAGAGCACTGACCATGCTTTCTGCCTGTACTGTATGTATATTGTAATCTTTGTACTGTAGTTATTTCCCTAAAATCCTTTCTTGACCCCACTGATCTCCTCTCATTCTGTTGGCTTTTCATGTCAGTTCTTCTCTCCTCCTAGCTTTTGGCTAGTTTCTTCATAGAGACCTTCTGAAGACTTCAGCTTTCAGGATAGTTTTTTCTGCAGTATTTGTTTTCAAAAGCCATTTGTTGAGTTTTGCCGTTTATTAACCTCCAGAAAGGAGATGTCTTTTTAGATCCAACATTTTTACTGGAGGGTCCATTGTTGAACTCGGTTCCTAAGGTCTTGCAGGTTTTCCTGTCCTGTGGGTTTGGTAGATGGGAATGTGGTCTCCTTTGTGCCCACTGCCTTGCCCTAATCGTTGGGGGGCTACAGTGCCCACTGCACACTGCTACTGCTGTTGTTGGAACTTCTGAGAATTTCCCAGACAGGCAACAGTTGCATTTTTCATTCCTCTTCAATTGCCACTGCAGTTAGTAATAAAAGTTTTAGTCTTTTGTGTCTGTGTCAGATGCTATTATTTTGGAATTTAATGTGTGGATATGTATTTATATATGTATAGAATAATTTTTTTGTTGGTTCATCTTTTAAAATTGCTTCATGTAGAAAATTGTATGTACAAAACTTAAATACAGAGAAGTAATGATACTTTTAAAAAATTGACACAAGTTTCTTCATTTGTCTATCCTTACATGTCTCAGTATATTCGTATCAGTGGCTTTTCCACTAAGGTAGGGCAAAAAATTCCTCAGTATTGATGTAATTGCCCCTAAAATGATAGTGACTCTAATATGGAAATGTTATTAAAAATGTAACTTAGGAATGTACTTGCATAATTATATTAAGAGCAACTCTCTTTTATCTAAGCCAATAATAGAGTTACCAGTATTGGGATAGACCTTTGACTTAACTTGTCTTTATGTAAAACAAACAAGGAGAGAGAAGAGAGATGTATATGATTTAACTCTCAAATGTTGTTTTTCTTAAATTCAGTTACACTGGTGACTTGAATTTAATTCATTCTGTTGTTTAGGCAAGACATTTTTAAAGGTAGTAATAATGTAGGGCACTTTGACTAAAAAGAGCTAAAAGATATGTTTTGCTTTTGTTTATCTTCCCTCAAGTTGCCTTGGTCATCATTTGAGACGTACACCACAAATGGGCAGCTAGAAAAGCAAAAGCATAGGGTAAGAATGAAGGAGCACCTTTTTTCCTCTAAATGTAACATCCTTTGTTTTCTATAAGATTATCTGGTATTCTATATTTATTTAAAGTTTTAATTTTAGAGTGTCTAGAAATGTTTTTTAAACATGCTCTACTGCTTTTAATAAATTCAAATTATTTTTGAAGAGAGTTATGTTTTTCAGGTGTTAATGCAGTGAATGCTAGCATAGTAATAGGCTTAAACACAGAATCTGATGTCTATTTTTATTTCTTTTGAAATGAAGATATATCTCACATTTTGAAAATATAATTATTTTAATGTTCATCTAATTTGATAAACTAAAAACAAAATTTTATGCATTGTTAATCAGATATGTAATACTACTGTTACCACTTACAATGGTTTATTTCACTAACAGATACATCTCGTTTCTTACCTTCAGGGTGAGGCTTTAATATTTATTTCTTCCCTTTCTAAAGAACCAAAGTGATGTTGTTATAAAGTGATCCTCCGTTTAGATAATATCAGGGCTACTTATAGTGAAATTGTAATAAAGTAGCTGAAGTTTCAAAAACAATTTTTGGACTCAATTCAAAAGTCCCACTTCAGGAGTAAATGCTAATGATGCCCTATTCTCAGCATATTCGCTCACTCTGAAGTTCCCACTTGATTACTTCAGTTTTTACCTCACTCTTACCACTAAAGGGAAAAAAGAAAATTATCAATTTAGAAATATTCCAATTTTAGAGTGATCAGTGACCATTATGATTTTAGTTCTATTTCACTGTCCGTAGACATAATTTATGTAGCCTCACAAAGTAGGAGTTATACATTTTGGCTTGATGCCATTAGGAACGTATCCAAATGTCCCCAAAGTGAACCATCCTTTATATAAGATACTTTCTCATGTTCTCAATGAATGTCAAAAGCTGAAATAGTTTTTTGGCCAATATAGATACATAAACTTTTACAGATGAAAATGAAATAATCAAATATCATGTTTCATGAGAGGATTTTATTCGGATGTTTCACGTATGTCTTTGATATCAGTGTGTTCATAATTGTTACAGAAGCACGCTGAGACATTTAATAGTTTTTTAAAGCACATGATGTTCATTTCCATCCAGACAGTTTGAGGTTTCCACTTTTTTGAAGCCATGTTTGTAATACTGTTGCTGGAACTTTTTTCCTAAGTTATGAGTAACTGTTCATTGAACGTCAGGAAACTTTTTTTCTTTCCTACTTATCAAATCTGTATCTGTAACTCCAACTCTATTTACTAAATTGCTTTTTAAAAGTCACCTTCAAAAGACTTGTTAACAACAACATATAATACTTTCAATTGTGAGGTTATTTCCTTCCCTAATTAATAATTGCTAAATATGTTTAAATTTCATTGCCTTTTTTTTTTAACCAGTTTCCTCAGCTACAAGCATTCAAAATTAGAAACCAGAATTGAGTGAAATTTTCCTTTTTAGCCAACATGTCTTCCACAAACAGTATTTATGTTTAAATATGTACATATTATAAAGTAAATAAGGGATTACTACCTAATAAGTAAGATTTCCTAAGAACTCAAACATCAAGCTCCCTCTGTTATGAGGAATAATTTTCGGGGAGAAAAACATCTTAACATTACATCAAATCATATACAGTTTTTATTTTAATGTGTATAATACTATATACAAGAGCAGGTTAGCAGACTTTGTGTGTGAAGAGCCAGGTAGTAAATATTTTACATTTTGCAGGCCGCATACTGTCTCTGTCACATATTCTTTGGTTTTGCCCTTTGTTTTCCTTTTAAGAACCCTTTACAAATGTGAAAACCATTCTTAGCCCCATACTATACAAAAACAGGCAGGCCTTGGACCATAGTTTGCTAACCCCATATTTTTTAAAAATCCAATAATAATTATAAGTCAATTTTTTTAATCCTTACAATCGGATCTGGTGTTATGCTTCAGATACAGAAGAGACTCAGTATATGTTAAGTGTCACATTTAAGATTTCATTTTTCCCTGCTTATGAGTTAATAAGCTGTTACTCTTTCATGGATGCTGGCACAGACTCCTGGATCAGACAAACGACTTAATTGCCCCCTAAGTCCTGTGGAGTAATATGATACTGCTCAGTTGGATGGTGTGCATTCAGTGGGTTTGCATTGCAGCTGGGGAGCATAGAGCTGGGGGAATACACCTCTTTTATAGCAATCATTAAGCAAGCCTGATTTTTGTCTCATCCCACAAGGTGGCTCCTGCAGACTACCTTGAGAAATGGCCCAGATAAAAAGAGCAATTGAGGCCTTGGCACATCCCACAAGCAGCTACAGGGACACTCAGGGTCTTTAGTGATTGCTTCTTCCAAAAGGTAGCTTGAATGCATAAATGAACAATTTCTCACACTGGCAATATTTTCTGACTAACATGATTTATTTTCCTTTCTCTGCAGGAATTAGTAGAACAAAACATGTGTTTAATTCAGTTGACTCCTCACAGAGATTTATTTACAGGAAACTTAACACCTTTTAACTATGACGTATTTTTTCACATGTTAAGGCAGTGTTTTATGAAGCGCAATGCCAAGCTAGTAGACCATTTACAGTAAGTAAGAAAAATAAAAGCAAGTATAAAAGTAGCAATTTAATGTGAGACTTGTAATTTTGTGTTAGAGCTTTGTTTTTTTATATCTTTAATATCTTGATTAACAGAATGAGGTATCATGTTTTCACTCATCTATTTCTTCAGAATATTTCCTTCTCACTGGTACAAATTTTGAGAAAAATATGTTTTCTACATAATCTGTTGAGCTTAGTTTTGTTTTCCTTCTTTGAAAAACAACCAGGGATGCCTACAGGCTGTTTGATCTTTGTCAGAGTATATGCCCAGGATTAGCCTACATGAAGAACTAGCTGCTTGCTATTAACTGAGGTAGAGAATGTCAACATTAGTGGTGGCATGGCCACCATCTACCACTTGTCACTGCCTGTCCTCAGTGGTTCTGTTCCCTGTCCAAAGTAGGCACCAGTCATTACACCACCCTAGTCCTGCTCTGGACCAAATGTTTCTATATAAAGTTTTATAAAAATATACTGTTAATACCTGCTGTGTATCTAATTTATAACTCTGAACGAGCTATTGATTAAACAATATTTATGTAAAAATAAATGTTAAAAGTGGCAGTAGACCAGTAGAAGTAATCTACTTTTCATCTTGTCACCTCATGGTAGTGGCTGTTTTGAATGAAAATATCAAGAATACAGGAAATTAAGGAATAAATATGGTAAACTGTGGTGTAAAATGTCAGAAATTACCTTGGCGATCCTGTGAATTGAAAGAATGTTTTACACCTGTGACCAGGATTCCATTCACAATCAAAAAGTGTTGGAAATATTTTCCACCAAAATATTTTAGTACAGTTGTTTACTTGTTAATTGTCAGAGGCTCACTGGTAGTTTCTTGCCAGGCTAATATATAATGAAGCAGTTTTCTGCTTTATAATTTATTCACAGTAATTGTGACATTAAAATGTGGAAGATTATTCCCTCTTTGAAAACAAACAGTAGTTTCTGCTATTTATACTTATTGATCTTTTACATGAACCTTAATGGAGTTGAGAATACTTTTGCAAAGAGAGCTAAAAGATGAAAGAGGTAGGCAGAAGAATTTTTTTAAGGGCAATGTTAAACTAGAATGTTGTGTAATAATTGATTAGAATGTGTTAAAGCCTAAATCTGTTCTTTTCATTACAAGCAAGCCATGAAACTTTAGGAATAGACATAGTTAAAGCTATTATATACAAGCTCTTAAACTAAATAAGACTAATTATATATAGTAAGATAGGCATTTTAAATTGGGCTTAGAAGCCATCAATATCAATATTAACTAAGAGTTGTTATGAAAAAGAATTAAGCAAATTTACTCTGTATTTATTTTGCAGTTCATTGAGTCCAATTGATGCACTGCATATATTGAAGCAAATTAAAAAAAATAAAAATGTAAAAGTAATAGATATGTACCCTCAAGACTTTCACTGCCTTTTCGAAACTATAGAGTGTTCCGAAGAGGATACCTGTAAGTGGCTATATGATGACTTCATGGAAGATGTAATCCTATAGGGAAGTGGACTGCCAAGACTTTAACACTTGTTTATTTATTTGGAAATTATGACGCAAATGAAAAAGAACTGAGTTTGAGAAGCTCACATCCTTTCAACAGACAATGAAATTTTTTATTTTGCACAACTAGGCAGATCATTTCTTCTGCAGTTGATATCATTATTGGATAAAACAATAGCTGCTATTTTGTTCAAACTGAATAAAATGAAACTTCAGTTAATTGTGGATTTGATAAAATCATATTTATTTTGTTTTAAATTCCTGTCTAAATATACTGGTGGCTGTAGAGTATTACCAGATAAAATTTAGTTTTAAAAATTCGTTTTGCAAATATCTTACATTGTATTAATTTAAATATTCCACTCTCACTGTTAATTTCTGTATCCTTCTGGGGGCAGAAAAGTTTATACATTATTAAATTTTCAGTTTGTTGAAATGTATTATCAAGTACTGTACAATGAAATTATTTAAATTTTAATATGGTTTTAAACTTTTTAGAAATTAAAGTATTTTAAGTAAAAAGATTTTGTGGCTTTTTTTTTTTTTTTGGTCTCTATCTAATGAAACATCAAATTGACCCTAATTTATTCACTTTAAATTCTGTCATATATATAGTCAGTATACTTTCAGGAATAATTCAATCTGTATTATTAAAAAGTCTCATGCATTTTTATTCCACCAAGGAAGTTCACCTAAAGTTAGACCTTTATATGAACCTAAGTGGAATTAAGAATATTTATTTTCTTAGCTCACTGAAGAAGCTACTAGATTTTAGCTGAGCCATATCTAACTCTTCAGTTAAAATTTCTGTGCTATTAGAACACTTCATAATACCTAAGCATATTATTAGTAAGTAACTCTTTGTAGGGACATGTTCTTAATAACACTTAGCCAAACCAGTTCTTCCCAACTTCCATACTGTTGTCCTTGGTTTACAATTCAGTCCAGCTGGAAACTCTCAATCCTCTCGTAATTGCTATCCTGCCATTACATAATCTGCCTAATCTTTCTTATGTCATTCAGTCTTCTTTCCCAATCCTATACCTTAAGCTTAAATTTCTCCTGGAGCTTCTTCACTGCGTTTCTCTCATCTTCCAATCCTTCTTGTTTATTATTGCGATATTACTCTTTCTAAAACATCTATTTCATTGTACATTCTTCTAAGGCCTTGATTTCTAAATGGGTAGTAGTGTCATCTGTCTTTTAGGGTTATTGTCAAGAGTAAATGAATTGAGAAAGGATTTCACAGAGAAGCTGACAGAGTGGTAACTATAAATGTTGACTTATGTATTTTCCCACACTTCCTCATATAGGTAGCCAGAGACCTCTGCTCTCTTCATTCTGCTTTCAAAAAATAGTTTAAAAAAAGAAACAATTGTCTTTTCACTAAAAAATGTGCATAGTTAATGAAGCTTAACATATGGAGATAGTTGCTCATGGTAACAGTAAGGTGTCGAAGAATTTGAAATTAAGATTAGCCTTGTTACATAGTAAAAACCCAGAGGAGTCAATAGTTACCAAAGCCTCTGGAGAAGTCAATTAAATTTTTAAAAAATTCATAACCAGTGTAATTAGCGCTTAAGTCAGTGTAGTTTCAAAGAAGTGGTGGAGGCAGAACCCTGATATTGGGTGTGTGATTTGGCTTTTGGGGGGCTTTAGAGGGGGTTATTTTTCATAAACAAGGACCTACTGTATAGCACAGGCAGCCATACTCAACATCCTGCAACAACCCAAAATGGAAAATAATCTGAAAAAGAATAGATATGTATATATATATAAAAGATTTTTTTTTAAGGTATTGAAAGTCAAAGTCAATTCTTTTTTTTTAATTGAAGTATAGTCAGTTACAGTGTGCCAGTTTCTGGTATATAGCATGTTTCAGTCATATAGATATATCCATATATTCATTTTCATATCCTTTTTCATTACAGGTTACCACAAGATGCTGAGTATAGTTGGGGGGGTGTATGATTTGTGATAGCCTTGGCTATGTAGGGCAAGAAAAAAGAATTCAGGGTTTGAGGTGGGTTCCTGTGTTTCTTAGTTAATTTTTTTTAAGGTGAGACATTTAAACATATTAGATTGTAAGTAAGAATGGAGGCAGCTGAGAAATACATTTTAAATATAGCTCAGAGAGATTAAGTTGGTTTTAAGAAATGGAATGAGAAGCACATTTTGCTCTTAGCCTAGATTAAAAAATGTTGAGTATGGGCAGTGATGTAAATATGTTTAGGGGGCAAAAGATGAACTAATGTCTTACAAGGAGTATATGCGCTTAAGAAGTATCAGGCAGAGCAGAAAGAGAGGACCTTAGAATGACAAAGATTTGTTAACTGCTGTAGGCAACTGGGGAATTAAGGAAGGTCACTAATAGAGGGGGTCCAGCTAAAAATGGAAACAATTTGCAGTGGTATTTTATTCTATTACTATTGTGTCATTGTGGGACTGAAGCAATGGAGAATGTGGATGATTAGGTTAATTTTTTTAAAAAGTTGTGTTTTAAGGAAATTAGCTGTTAGATCTGTGCATGTGAGTGACTTCTATTATTTGCAGAGTGAGAAATCAGTCTAATATTCACTGTCAGATGGTATGGATATAGCCTAAAAACAGTGGAGGTGTGACCAGATCTCCTGTGAGGGGAGCATAGTTGATTGATGTCCCCAGCTTCTAACTCCTTGAATCTACCGCTATGTTTGTGCCACAGACCACACTTCCTGCAGGCTGCTCCCAGACAATGACTAAGCATGGTGGAGGTACTAAGGCAGGCCCCATCTAGGGACACAGAGCTCCAAAGGGCAATTTTAGCTCGAGGACTTCTTGTTGGCCTGGCTAAAACTTTCTTGGAATTTTGCTGTATTTTGGGACTTGCTATCCAATCTTCCTGCTTTCCATAGAGTCAGACCCGCAATCACAGTCTGAAACACGTCCTTCCTTCTGCTCCTTTCTCTAAAAACCTTTTACATATCTAATCTTAGCATCTGCTCCTCTGTAGGCCCAAACTAATTCAGGAGTCAAGGAATGTGAAAGTAACAGGAAGAAAATGGTTGGAATAATGAACTAAGAGTTTAAAAGCCCATTTTCAGCATTTAAACTCTGGTAATAAGGTACCAGAGGTGGAGTGGTTCCCGATGATGAAAAGGTCCAGCACTAAGTAATTCAGGGTTAAGCACGTACAAAGATATTTTGCCAAAACGCCTTTCATTTTACTGGTGTCTGAGGATAATGAATGGTCATTTGGTTTGTTTGAATACTCAGAGCCTGATAAACTTAGCAGAAAGTTCAAGTGGAATGTTGGGAACGTGATCTGGTGCCTCTTAAAAAAAGCTTTCACTAGAAGAGTAAGATAGCTGCCCACACAGTTAGCTCTGGGTGAGATCATGGTGGCTAAAGAGCGTCAGGAGGGCTAAGAGCTCGACTTACTACAACAGGAGACTCAGTGGTGATTTAGGATCTTTGTGTGTGTGTGCTTTTGGAATATTGGTAACTTTCCATTAAGAAAGTAGATGTTTTTCCTCTAGAATATCTAAGAATGCAGTCAGCATAAATTCAGAAGGTGATGGGGACCAAAATAGGCATGCCCTATATTAGTAGGGTAAAAAAAAATTTTTTTTTCTTATTGTGGAATATTACCATTTGTTCTTTCATCACTAAATTGTAGAATGGCATTTATCAGGTTACTTATCTGGGCTTTGGTTTTGCATGTGCAAAACAAGAAGGATTTAACTATGTGGTCTTCCTCTTATCTGTGAAATTCTATAATTATCTTCCATATGTTGTCAAAAGTATATCTCTTATAGGGAGGAAAATGTATCCTTTGCTCACCGTATAGGGATAATTTGGAGAATGAAGTCAACATAAAGAAAACAGCTCATGGAAATTTGGAGACATCATTTTGATAACATTTGATCCCCTGGCTCCAGCCATACATGAAGCCATATACATGTCTGAAGCCATATGCATGTCCAAATCCAAGCAAATGCCAAAAGCCGATCAATTTCCTCTTATGTTTAAATTAGTTTAGGATGGAATTCTATCACTTTTAACTAAGAGTCCTAATATAAATACTATCTTAATAGCACTTATCAATAGCATCCCATTCCTATATTCTTCTGAGTTTAACTACTAAAAATTAGCATGTTCCTGAAGTGATGACTACAATTGGTGACCTCCAAGCCACAAGCTTGGGCCTTTGCATTAATAAATAATGAAGGGCTTTTTTAGTTCCATGTCTTGTGAATGTACTATTTGGACTACTCTATGGCTTGAAAGAGGAATTCTAGTTACCTGATGAGATATGTAATAGACTTTTAAAATAACCCAGTAATTCTTGGTTAAATGTTCATTCACTTTATTATTGAAACTTCTGGGTAATTCTGTTTTAAACATTTATAACTATTACTTAATTTACCTCTTGCTAATAAAATAGTGTGTTAAACTTTCAGTTAGAGTTTACGGGAAATTGCACAATATTCTATGCTCTTCTTGGTTTTTATCTGCTCACTAAAAGTGAGGATATGAAAGTAGTGGATATAGTAGGGTATATTTTTAAAATTAAGTTTAGATTCTTGACGGAATCCAACTGCAAAGCACATTAGTAAGAATTTTTATTGGAAACATCAAATCTTCTCCAAGACTGAGAAAGGTCAGCTTCAGGATCCTATGCAGGATTTCCTTATTATTTATGGTATAGAACTATATCTATCTATCTATATATATGTATCATTGTCTACTATATATTCTGAACCTCTCTTAACATCCTCCAGTCCTTTTAAAATAAACTTCTTTTATTGTTTTATACAAGAGAAACTGCCACAAGAATTTGTTAAGTGCAGGATAGGCCTGAGAGCTTAGGAATTCTGGGCTTCTGTTTCTATAATACATCTTAGCCATAATGTGGTCCCTCCTAGGCAACTTTAAAGAATAGTGTGAGTCAGCCATCTTTACAGTTTCTGAGTGGTCTTTGTATAGGGAATCTGGAATTTGTTGCTTGTGGTTTATCATTTAAGAATTCTGGAAAGCAGAATTGTCCATTTTGCAATAATTAAATGAATCTCTTTTATTAAGGAAAAAAACTTTAACCTTCTGTTACCGTGTATGTGATTCTCATTATAGAATGTTATATTGTATTATTATAGAATTGTTTGTTCCTTTGGTAGGAACAGGTCCAAGTTTACGGGCCTAAGGCTTATACAACTTTAGGGAGCCCCCTTTTAAAACTGTGGAATAAATAAAATGGTAAGAAAAAATATATATTTTAACCATTTTCAGTGTTCAATTCCATGGCATTAAGTACATTCACATTGTTGTGCTACCATCAACAATACATGCTTTGAGAATTTTTTCATCATCTCAGATAGAAACTCTATATCCATTAAACTAACTTCCCACTGACCCCTATTTTTTGTTTCTGTGAATTTCTCTATTCCAAGGACCTCATGTAAGTGGAATCATACAATTATTTGTTGTTTTGTGTCTGGCTTATTTCACTTAGCATAATGTTTCCAAGGTTTATTCATGTG